GAAATAATAAGTAAAATAAAAAAGTGCTAAAAAAGTAAAAAATTATTTTAAAAAAATGTAAACAATAATAAAGAAAAAAAAATATATATAGATATACAACCCTGCCGTCCCCGCCATCAGGGAGGGGGGCCCATTCAGGAACCCGGACTTCAGGCAGCAGAGAGAGTAAATCTGGCCCTGGGTATACATGAGGCAATTGCTTTTAATTTAATCACTTAAATTAAAACAGGAATAATGAAGCGTTGAGTCAATGAGCTGCAAGGGTACCAACAAATGTGTCAATGCCTGTACGAAGAAGATAAAAATGCCAGTGACAAACCCTTGATAGACAAAGGGCGAACGGCTCAGAAATTTGTGTGCAGAGCACCGGATCTGCGGAGTTCACAGGGAGGAAAAGATGGCGCTTCTGCCTGATGGCGGAGAGCAAATCAGCAGCACTTATCAGCCTGGAATTAAAGACACTTTAAGGAAATGGCTGAGAAATACTGTAATTATAATTTGTATCAGATGTTTATTAAGTGCTTCAGATAAATCTTCACCTCAACATTCTACTTCACTAATTATATACAAGCGAAATTCAGTTTGAACATTCAGAAGGTAAACACGACTCTTGAAGGAAGTGAAGATTTTCAACCTTTATCAGAAAATGTAAGTTTTGCCAGAGGACCAGGTCAGTGAGAGAAAGAGGGAGAGAGGGGGACAAGGAGAGAGAGAGAGGGGCAATTAGGGAGGGACAGAGAGAGGACAGGGGAGGAGAGACAGGGGGCCAGGGAGGGAGGGAGAGGGAGGCAGAGATACAGAGAAAGGGGGACAGGGAGGAAGAGGGAGACTCTGCCGGCGGTGTGACCAGGGGAACCTTAAGATTTATAATCCCTTACCCCTGATAATGTCCCTGGACTCACCTCCTATCCCCTTTATATTATCCCTTACCCCTGATAACATCCTTAAACTAAACTTCTATCCCAATAATATTATCCCTTACCCCTGATAATGTCCCTGCACTGACCTCCTACCCCCTTTATATTATCCCTTACTCCTGATAATGTCTCTGCACTCACCTCCTATCCCCTTTATATTATCCCTTACTCCTGATAATGTCTCTGCACTCACCTCCTATCCCCTTTATATTATCCCTTACCCCTGATAATGTCTCTGCACTCACCTCCTATCCCCTTTATATTATCCCTTACCCCTGATAATGTCCCTGCACTCACCTCCTATCCCCTTTATATTATCCCTTACCCCTGATAATGTCCCTGCACTCACCTCCTATCCCCTTTATATTATCCCTTACCCCTGATAATGTCCCTGCACTCACCTCCTATCCCCTTTATATTATCCCTTACCCCTGATAATGTCCCTGCACTCACCTCCTATCCCCTTTATATTATCCCTTACCCCTGATAATGTCCCTGCACTCACCTCCTATCCCTTTTATTTTATCCCTTACCTTGATAATATCCCTGTACTCACCTCCTATCCCCTTTATATTAGCCCTTACCCCTGATTATGTCCTTGGTCTCATCTCCTATCCCAATTCTATTATCCCTTACGCCTGATAGTGTCCCCGTATTCATCTCCTTTCCCCTTTATATTATGGTCAGTAGTACAGTAGTAGTACATTATATTGTAGTCAGTCTGGCTGGCATTTATTTGGTTAATTCCAGGTGTTCTGGCATGGATTGCACCTACCAGGGTGGAGTGTGACTCTACTGTAGTGTAGGACAGCCAATGAGGGGAACTGTGAGTGTGTGTACAGTTCACTAGCCAATCACTGGGGCACTCAGTCAGTGTTGCATGCTGGGACAGGGCATATACACCCCAGGCAATTGCCATGTGCACAGTTGGGTTCCAGCCATGGATTAGTCGAGGCTGGAGTGCTGTCCAGCCAGCCCCCAGGCTAGGCCTGAGGCCTAGGGGGTGGGGATACTTGAGTGTGGAAAAGGCTCTGCAAGTCTGATGTCTCTCCTACTGAAGATCTGTGCCAATCCCTGTTCATCTGTTGCTCAATTATCTACCTGGTGTTCCTATGGAATCTACACTGAATTACTAAAGGGAGTCTGTGTCTGTAATTCCCCTGGATGTCTAGAATCCCTATACCCCACCTCACAGAGTGAATATGTTAATAAAAGTACTTCAGCATCATTCTTGTGGCCTGGGTATTAGCTCTGTGGGCACTAGAAGAGGTTGGTTCATGCTAATGGGGCAGCTGGTTACCAAAATCCTTAGAGAGGCTATGGCTGGGTTATTCTGGTGGCGGTGAGTGCTACACTAGCAAATTCTATCACCAAACTAATACGTGAGGTCACCAAAAGCGATGGGAGAGCAATTTTGAGACTTGTAGTTCAACTACAATTGGAGATATGCCAGATACCCAATGGGGAGATATTTTCACTTATAATAGGTTTTGCTCTACCTCGTTCAGCAGACGTTACTGGTCAGAAGGCATCTCACAGAGATTTTAGGCATATAACGCCTGTGGATTGAATTATTTCCTATAGTTGTAATAAATACATAATATAGAGAGCCGTGGAAGTATATTTATTTTCTCTCATACAGACAAAACAACCCCTATCCCTGCACTCACCTCCTATCCCCTTTATATTATCCCTTACCCCTGATAATGTCCCTGCACTCACCTCCTATCCCCTTTATATTATCCCTTACCCCTGATAATGTCCCTGCACTCACCTCCTATCCCTTTTATTTTATCCCTTACCTTGATAATATCCCTGTACTCACCTCCTATCCCCTTTATATTAGCCCTTACCCCTGATTATGTCCTTGGTCTCATCTCCTATCCCAATTCTATTATCCCTTACGCCTGATAGTGTCCCCGTATTCATCTCCTTTCCCCTTTATATTATGGTCAGTAGTACAGTAGTAGTACATTATATTGTAGTCAGTCTGGCTGGCATTTATTTGGTTAATTCCAGGTGTTCTGGCATGGATTGCACCTACCAGGGTGGAGTGTGACTCTACTGTAGTGTAGGACAGCCAATGAGGGGAACTGTGAGTGTGTGTACAGTTCACTAGCCAATCACTGGGGCACTCAGTCAGTGTTGCATGCTGGGACAGGGCATATACACCCCAGGCAATTGCCATGTGCACAGTTGGGTTCCAGCCATGGATTAGTCGAGGCTGGAGTGCTGTCCAGCCAGCCCCCAGGCTAGGCCTGAGGCCTAGGGGGTGGGGATACTTGAGTGTGGAAAAGGCTCTGCAAGTCTGATGTCTCTCCTACTGAAGATCTGTGCCAATCCCTGTTCATCTGTTGCTCAATTATCTACCTGGTGTTCCTATGGAATCTACACTGAATTACTAAAGGGAGTCTGTGTCTGTAATTCCCCTGGATGTCTAGAATCCCTATACCCCACCTCACAGAGTGAATATGTTAATAAAAGTACTTCAGCATCATTCTTGTGGCCTGGGTATTAGCTCTGTGGGCACTAGAAGAGGTTGGTTCATGCTAATGGGGCAGCTGGTTACCAAAATCCTTAGAGAGGCTATGGCTGGGTTATTCTGGTGGCGGTGAGTGCTACACTAGCAAATTCTATCACCAAACTAATACGTGAGGTCACCAAAAGCGATGGGAGAGCAATTTTGAGACTTGTAGTTCAACTACAATTGGAGATATGCCAGATACCCAATGGGGAGATATTTTCACTTATAATAGGTTTTGCTCTACCTCGTTCAGCAGACGTTACTGGTCAGAAGGCATCTCACAGAGATTTTAGGCATATAACGCCTGTGGATTGAATTATTTCCTATAGTTGTAATAAATACATAATATAGAGAGCCGTGGAAGTATATTTATTTTCTCTCATACAGACAAAACAACCCCTATCAAGGAGAAACCATTCACCAATTCTATATGTGCGCCAATATGACATCAGCTCTAGAAATAGAAGATGCTGCGCAGAGTTGCATAGGCCATGGAGACATTGACGATGTACCCAACGAGGAAGGTCAGCGCTCGACTTGGCTGCGGCAGTGGCGTCAGGTAGGAGATGCTGTGCAGAATGCGAGAACCAGCAAAGATACGGAAATGTAAAAGCGCGGTGGATAAATCAGGATTACTGAGAGCGTAGACCAGACCAAGTCCCACAAATGGTACAATGTTCTCAATGTCGTTCAGATGACACCTGTGAACACAAAAGGAAAAGCTGTCACCTTCCTGGAAGTGGCAAATATTAATTCATACCAATAAAGCGACGTTTCCCCCAGATATTCAGGAATTTATACAATGTGATGGATAAATCGATATGATGTTATGGCGAGGAGCTCCGTAGGATTTGTGATATTTTGGGACACACTCTGCGTGTGATAAACTGGACGTTGCTTTTCCATTCTCTGCTGTCACAGTGAAAGAATAGCTGCTAACACGCTGTAATGTCTTTTCAAATAAATGTTGACGTCGCCAATAAAACCTGCTTAGCGGCTGTAATATTTTTACACCTTTCTGCAAGCAAACTGGACTCAAAGCTTAAATGCTCCACTTATATTGCAGTACTAGCCTACCATGTGCAGAGGGACCACCAACAACTACTGTACAAAGATCTGGGAGAAGCAGATTTTATCAGAAAAAATACCAACTTTTATCCGGACTTACATCCACTCTGACTGTGTGATAAATGGTGCTCATAATAATACAAGAAGTTATAATTCATTGGGACAAAATAAGAATTGATTAAAGGGTAGATTTATAGGCAAATGCAAGGCCTTCATATCCCCTAATGCAAATAATGTCATTTTGTGGACTGGTCGGAGGGGGTAGCATCATTTAGTAGACTGGTCAGTGGTGGTGTCTCTAGACTGGTCAGTGGAAAAAGTACCATTCTATTAGTCAGTGGGGGTGGCTCCATTCCGTGGAGTGGTCAGAGGGGGTGGTGCCAGGGGCACACCTACTAGCAGTGAAGCAAGTGTGGCTGCCCCAGGGCCCAAGGCTGGGGGGCACTAAGATCTGGTCCCGGGATCCCAAAGAATTTGAGGTGGCATTGCTCTTTACATTTTTTAATGTATTTGGCTGCTGTGAGGTCCCGCGTTTGTCGGGGGAGCCTTCTGGGGACCTGTGGCTGCTGTTTACAGCTCCGGTCCGCAGACCAAATTGCTCTCCACAGCTTATCCACCAGCCACCCAAAGCATGTCCACCGGCCCGCACAGCTCGTCCACCGGCTCACACATCTGCCCCTCCCACCCTGGTGAGACCCTCCACATCTGCCCCTTCCACCCTGGTGAGACCCTCCATATCTGCCCCTTCCACCCTGGTGAGACCCTCCACATCTGCTCCTGCCACCCTGGTGAGACCCTCCGCATCTGCCCCTACCACCCTGGTGAGACCTTCCTCATCATGCCCTGCTGCACATTAGAATGTTAGCTCCTTTGGTGCAGAGACCGCCGGGGGGAGTCGGTGAGATCCGGACCTGCCCCCCCCCCCACCTTGGGAGGGGGGGGGCCCGGGAAAAAATCTTGCACCAGGGCTCTTTGTTCCTTAGGTCCGCCACTGTGTGTCACAACTCTCAGGACTGGTCAGGAGAGGTGGGGCAGCATTCCGAGGACTGATCACCATTAGTGGCTCTACTTAGTGGAGGTGGCTCCATTCCATGGAGTGGTCAGTGGTCATTCTGTATATTAGTAAGTGGGGGTGGCTCCATTTTGTGGACTAGTTTGAGGGGATGGCACCATTCTAAGGACCAACCAGAGAGCGTGGCTCCTTTATGTGGACTGGTAAGTGTGAGTTTTCCCTATTCTTTAGACCACTTAGTGGAGGTGGCTCGATTCTGTGGAGTGGTCATTGGGGAAAGTTCCATTCCATATAGTAGTCAGTTGAGTTGGCCCCATTCTGTGTACAGGCCAGTGGGGAAAGTCCCAATATGTATTTTAGTAAGTGGTGGTTGTTCCATTTTTTGACTAGTTTGAGGGTATGGCACAATTTTAAGGACCGACCGGAAGGCGTGGCTCCTTTATCTGAACTGGCCAGTGTGAATTTTCTCTATTCTGTAGAAAACTCAGTGGAGGTGGCTCCATTCTGTGTAGTGGTCAATGGGAAAAGTTCCGTTCCATTTAGTAGTCAGTGGAGTTGGCCCCATTCTGTGTCCTGGCCAGTGGGAATGTCACAATTCTGTGTAATGGCCAGAGTGGAAAGTTCCATTCTGTATATCACATAGTGGTAGCTGTTCCATTCTGTGGACCGGTTAGTGTGGAGGGTGGGATCTCTCTCTTATAATTATAATACATTATTAGGTTCATAAAAGCAGAATAAAAGAAAGTGGTCTTATAACTTTCATAGCTGAGGAACATATGAAGGTTCTCAGTGCACTGCCACACATGCCAAGTCTTGGTTGCTCTTATAGCCAGCAGGATACATATTGACATAACAAGATAACCATACCCGATCTGCTGGCACTAAGGATGATTTTATTACCTGCGAACTCTCTCCACAGTTTCATCTGTTCTGACATATTTTTTCAGATCTCCTCCCTTGCTAATACTAGCAGCATCTTCTGGATTTGCATAGACCTAGACACACAGGGGACAAAAGTGAATCAAGAGTCACTTCCATCTATATATATGATGTCACCTTCTACCAGTTAATGAATTGGGTTGATTCCATCAAAGCGAACAGAACTCACCCAATTTGATATTCTCAATAATATTACTCATGTTGTATATTTACATCATGGGGAATGCCCAATCAGAGCCACTTACCTTGCGTGTAATCCTGAAGAAGGAGGTAAGAATACTCATAAGCATCATTTTCAAGAGGACCACAGCCACATATGTAGCATAGGCCCTGAACACCTCACTGTCAGCGAACTGCTTTAAGACGGACATCTTGTCTGCAGATAATAGGAGAGGAATAAGATGTCAGACTTTGTGGATTCTATGAAATGCTAATTCATTTCCCAGTGTCCTTGTCCATGGTAAAACCATAGACCTACTGGTTCATTCAGATAAGTGTTACATTTTGTACTGCTGAATGACATCATATGGTATTATAACTGATGATATAAGAAGGGAATCCCGGTTGTCCCCTCCCCAACGATTGCATGGGACCCATCATTCCCCAGTTGCTGTGTCTAAGATAACTTTCCAGTTAATTGGAGCTGCAGGCAGGGAGGGTTAATAATTAATGATTTAAATAAAAATAGTATGGCGTGCATTCTGAGTACATTTAAAAGAAAATGAATTCATTAATACTACATTTTTTTAAATCTAAGTAGTAGTTAATTGGTAACCCCGCAAGTCCACTGGCAGGAATGAACAATAAACCACCTAGCTAAAATGATTTTGTGTCATATTTTGTTACTTTTATTACCCCATCATAAATAATGGGATAATAAAAGTTAAAAAAATTAAAAATATAGAAAATATTTTTCTATATGATACCATACATGTTTATTAGTACTCACTATTCCTTCTAGTTGAATTGTGGATATTGCTGAAATTAAACTCTTGTCCACGATATAAAGAATATCTTTGTACTGTATTACAAATGTTGTTTTTATGCATCTTATCCAATAGCAGAGGTCTGTACAGAACGGATGTCCTCAGTTATAAGGGAGGAGGGCAGAGCCAATAGCTTGGGGATCTCTTCCAAAATCCTATAAGAGTAAGGCCAGGTTCACACCCCGGTGATCTGTTACCGCGCAGTATCATGCACGTTCACCGCACGGTCACAGAGTCACTCATTATTTTCTAATGGCACCCCAGTCGCAATTCCACCCATGAAAACAGCCGCGTGTCGCAATTTCTGCGATTGCGTGGATGTAACCCCATTAAGGCCAAGTTCACACCTGGGTGATCCATGACCGCGCGGTAATCGTACGCGATACCGCGCCGATTGCTGTGCTGTCACGGAGTTGCCCACCACCGCCGATCGCGCTTTTCTAATGGCACCTCAATCGCACCGGACAGATTGCGCGTTTTACCGCCGCAATTCTACCCATGCAATTGAACACGATCACGGCTAAAACAGCCGCGTGTCGCAAAAAGAGGTACATGTACTTTTTTCTGCGATTGCTGTATGGATCTAACCCCACCGAATTGGCCAGGTCTGCACGGGCCCTGAAATCAATGGGGCCGCGCGGCAATCGCTGTGTGCAATTAAGCATGATCGCACGTCCTGGATCGCCAGGTTTGCAGAGTTTGCCTTCAATTTTAGGGGAGACGATCATAATCAATAGCTTGGGGTACTCTTCCGACAGCTCATAAGACAAATGTTTTCGAGTTTGCTAAGATTTGGATTGATCTCCTTATTGCTATCAGCACATCCAGAGGTCCTAAATACTATTCAGGAAATATAGGACTGATTTTTATAGCTGTGCAAGTCCAAGATAACTATAAGGCCGGGTTCACACCACAAAGTCTGTGTTCCAGAGCGTTTGGCCTCTGGAACGCACTGGAACACAAGCCGGCCGGCTCCCTGCGTTCAGGGGCCGGAGGGTGCGGTGCATTGAAGTCAATGGCACCACAGCCACACCCCCCCGCCCGCAGTGCAGTCGCCCGCACCTGGAACACAGGCACATTGTGGTTTGAACCTGGCCTTTAAGGATTAGACAGAACTGGAGCACATTGTGGACCAACCATTATTCAGTCCGAAGAGGAGATCTCAATTCTTCCTTGATGGCTTGAAAAATGTGATGCAGGATGAATCTCTCCCCAATCTTTGTAGATAGCGACCTTCAAGCCAGTTTCTGTGCCACAGTTACCTCCTCAGGTGAAAGTTGTATAAAAGAGGCCAATGTCTGATTGTTGGGGGCAGAGGTGTAAAAACTAGACATGTCCGATTCGTTTTGCTCTAAATAAAAATTCAGGCGAATTTCCGAATCCCAATGCATCCGAATGTGTCCTAATCCAAATTTCCATTTCCAAATTTCGGATCCTGTCCGCATTTCGTTCATAAACGAAACTGAATCGGACATGTGACTTTTCTGGCCAATCAAATGTGTTTTTTCGTTTAATGCATCCGAATAGGTCTAAACACGAATTTCGTGTTCACTATATACATATATTATCAAAGCTGAGGCTCCCAGACCCGAATGCCATTGCATTCGTAAATTTGGATCCTGAATGCCATTCGGGTCTAGGAGATTCAGCTTTAGTATTGATATCTGTATATGGTTTTCTGTGGTATTCGCAACTAATATTTGTAAACTCATCCGAAACTAACGAAATTCGGATTTCGTCTGAATCCGAAACCAGAACCAAATTGATTTTCGGATCCAAGTCCCGTATTCCGGAATAACAAAATATCCAAACCGAATTGAATTTTACCACAGCTTACATGTCTAGTAGAAACAGACAGCGGGGCCCAATAGCAACATTTTGATGGGTTCCCCTGGCGACCTCCCAACTGTCACTGATCTTTGCAGGAGAGCTGTTAGCATAGTGAAAGCCTTATACTGTATGTGTACATTTACACCAGGAGTTTGCTGGCAGAAAACTGGCAGGAAGATCCTGTGTAAAAAGCGGTCTGTAGACCTCATATAAACATACACACGCTGATGTCTGTATGAGATGTGTACTATGCACAGTTATTCATTCAGAATGACAAAGGCCGAGGTCAATCTATTCTATGCCAGCGCATTGCTCATGTTTACATCTACTCCCTGGCCCTAAATGAGTCAATGAATGGCAATGGTGGCGCAGAATGGCCTCAACCTTAAGTCATTCAAAATGACTGATTGCCAAGGTTATTTTGTTCCTGCACCGCCTCCACTGCCCATGAATGACGGAGAGGTAGAAGTAAATATCAGCAATATGTCGGCAGCCACAGAGGCACCAAAGAATGTCAGCCTTGAGTCATTGAGGTTTTACGCAGCTAAATGCTACGGACCAAAATGCAGCTGTGTCAATGGGCCTATAGCACACAATAATGCTGTGTTCAGATCCATATGAAACTGTATGCAGTAAATGTTATGCCTGTGTGCGTTTTTGTGCATTTGGTTTGTTTCTTTCTATCCCCTCCTGTTTATTGCTAGTTAGTACAGTTCTAGTTAGACCCTCCCTTATTTTTTCATGCTCTCTCCCCTGAATAGTTTCAGTCTGATGGCAGAGACAGGGCTTAGGGAAGTCACTGACTTCTTACTTTTACCATGAGTTACTGCAATGTACAGTAACACTGCTAAGTAACTGCTGGGAGGGGGAAGAAGGGGGAGATGAGATGATAAGTTACTGCTGGGAGGGGGGGAGCTGAGTTACTGTGTCACTTCTGGGAGGGGGGGAGGGCAGAGTATGCTCTATGTACATAGATGTGAACTAGTCCTCACAGTTCCTATAGTTTATCTGTGCCAGTTTCCTACAAGACCTTCCATTCTTCCAGCCACTTTCCTACATGCTGAGTACAGGTCTGGGAAATTTCCTGTGTGTCACCCATTATATGCCTCCTTTAGGGCAATGTGCTTTAGGATAATCCATGCTGATACCACAGAGGCCCGCTATGTTATAACACATATCTCAGGACAAGTCAGTAATGTACGGGTAATGTGCAGAAACTCAGAACAAACACACTGTGCATGCCATCATGGCATCATAGCAATCAGGAAAGGAGAACTCCAATGGACTGGTTGCCATTACTGCACACTACACTGATATACAGAGCGTCTATAATGAACAGAGGAGGTTGGGATGGAGAGCCCAAATCCCCTCCGTATAGCAGGTCTGTTTACATCTAAAGAGAGGATTTACATTGTGCAAAGCAACCCCCCCCCATAGAGATCTACAGGGAGTATCTATAGTGTACATATAGTCCTTCCCCTATAGATCTATAATATAAAGGAGAGACCCTCCATATAGATCTACAGGTGAAACTCGAATAATTAGAATATCGTGCAAAGTTCATTTATTTCACTAATGCAACTTAAAAGGTGAAACTAATATATGAGAGAGACTCATTACATGCAAAGCAAGATAGTTCAAGCCGTGATTTGTCATAATTGTGATGATTATGGCTTACAGCTCATGAAAACCCCAAGAGCCCCAAATCCACAACCTCAAAAAAGTAGAATATTACATGCAGTCAATAAAACAAGGATTGTACATAGAACAATATCGGACCTCTGAAAAGTACAAGCATGCATATGTACTCAGTACTTGGTTTGGGCCCCTTTTGCAGCACTTACTGCAATTACTTTTGCACGATATTCTAATTATTCGAGTTTCACCTGTATAATGTATAGAGAGACCCTCTCATATAGATCTATAGTGTAAAGGGAGCCTCCCCTATGGATCTTTATTAAACAAATGTCACCTCCTGTATAAATCTATACATACAGACAGCTTTTCCCATATAGATCTGTAATGTACAGGCAGCCTCTCTTGTATAGACCTATAATGTACAGGTAAACTCCCCCTTATAGCTCTAAAATATACAGACAGCCTCCCCCTTATAGATCTATAATGTACAGGCAGCCCCCTCCCCAATATATCTATAATGTAATGTATAGACAGCCCCCTTATAGATCTATAATGTACAGGCATCCTCCCCCTTATAGATCTATAATGTATAGGCAGCCTCCTGTATAGATCTATAATGCACAGGCAGCCTCCTGTATAGATCTATAATGCACAGGCAGCCTCCTGTATAGATCTATAATGCACAGGCAGCCTCCTGTGTAGATCTATAATGCACATGTAGCCTCCTGTATAGATCTATAATTCACAGGCAGCCTCCTGTATAGATCTATAATGCACAGGCAGCCTCCTGTATAGATCTATAAAGCACAGGCATCCTCCTGTATAGATCTATAAAGCACAGGCATCCTCCTGTATAGATCTATAAAGCACAGGCATCCTCCTGTATAGATCTATAAAGCACAGGCATCCTCCTGTATAGATCTATAAAGCACAGGCATCCTCCTGTATAGATCTATAAAGCACAGGCATCCTCCTGTATAGATCTATAAAGCACAGGCATCCTCCTGTATAGATCTATAAAGCACAGGCATCCTCCTGTATAGATCTATAAAGCACAGGCATCCTCCTGTATAGATCTATAAAGCACAGGCATCCTCCTGTATAGATCTATAAAGCACAGGCATCCTCCTGTATAGATCTATAAAGCACAGGCATCCTCCTGTATAGATCTATAAAGCACAGGCATCCTCCTGTATAGATCTATAAAGCACAGGCATCCTCCTGTATAGATCTATAAAGCACAGGCATCCTCCTGTATAGATCTATAAAGCACAGGCATCCTCCTGTATAGATCTATAAAGCACAGGCATCCTCCTGTATAGATCTATAAAGCACAGGCATCCTCCTGTATAGATCTATAAAGCACAGGCATCCTCCTGTATAGATCTATAAAGCACAGGCATCCTCCTGTATAGATCTATAAAGCACAGGCATCCTCCTGTATAGATCTATAAAGCACAGGCATCCTCCTGTATAGATCTATAAAGCACAGGCATCCTCCTGTATAGATCTATAAAGCACAGGCATCCTCCTGTATAGATCTATAAAGCACAGGCATCCTCCTGTATAGATCTATAAAGCACAGGCATCCTCCTGTATAGATCTATAAAGCACAGGCATCCTCCTGTATAGATCTATAAAGCACAGGCATCCTCCTGTATAGATCTATAAAGCACAGGCATCCTCCTGTATAGATCTATAAAGCACAGGCATCCTCCTGTATAGATCTATAAAGCACAGGCATCCTCCTGTATAGATCTATAAAGCACAGGCATCCTCCTGTATAGATCTATAAAGCACAGGCATCCTCCTGTATAGATCTATAAAGCACAGGCATCCTCCTGTATAGATCTATAAAGCACAGGCATCCTCCTGTATAGATCTATAAAGCACAGGCATCCTCCTGTATAGATCTATAAAGCACAGGCATCCTCCTGTATAGATCTATAAAGCACAGGCATCCTCCTGTATAGATCTATAAAGCACAGGCATCCTCCTGTATAGATCTATAAAGCACAGGCATCCTCCTGTATAGATCTATAAAGCACAGGCATCCTCCTGTATAGATCTATAAAGCACAGGCATCCTCCTGTATAGATCTATAAAGCACAGGCATCCTCCTGTATAGATCTATAAAGCACAGGCATCCTCCTGTATAGATCTATAAAGCACAGGCATCCTCCTGTATAGATCTATAAAGCACAGGCATCCTCCTGTATAGATCTATAAAGCACAGGCATCCTCCTGTATAGATCTATAAAGCACAGGCATCCTCCTGTATAGATCTATAAAGCACAGGCATCCTCCTGTATAGATCTATAAAGCACAGGCATCCTCCTGTATAGATCTATAAAGCACAGGCATCCTCCTGTATAGATCTATAAAGCACAGGCATCCTCCTGTATAGATCTATAAAGCACAGGCATCCTCCTGTATAGATCTATAAAGCACAGGCATCCTCCTGTATAGATCTATAATGTACAGGCAGCCTCCCCCATGTATCCAGGCACAGATAGGAACACATTGTGTAATTCCAGTCACTAATCCGGCTCTGGGTGAAATGTGAGCAGAACAAATTCCAAAGTCTGAATAAATCCGAGTCACACTATATCAGCTCCATCTACATTGTATTCACACACATTACATTCTAACATTGAATTAACCCTTTGTTGGATACGGCTTCATCTGCAACACATTGTAATCAATCAGCACATTAGGCATTTGTCGACAAGGGGTTAATTATCTGAATGTGAGGACAGACATGACTAGGTATGTAACAACATGACAGACCATGTTTCTTCTTGTTCTGCTGCTCATCATGGAAATGAATGGAGACCTCTCTGACCTGTTACAGATAAGTCAATGAAAAGACCAAAATCTCCCCCTAGGTACCATCATAAGAAACAATAAACCCAAAACTGACACCAACCCACAAATCTCACCTGATCTCTGCTCGTCACACGACTGAGGCTGGAGAAAAACTTTCCCCTACTTCTGAGAAAGACACTCCTCCCAAACCTGACACCTCTACCTTACATCCTGCCTATCCCCTGCCTCCTCCGTACATCCAGCCTATCCCCTGCCTCCTCCGTACATCCAGCCTATCCCCTGCCTCCTGCGTACATCCAGCCTATCCCCTGCCTCCTCCTCCCCTGTACATCCAGCTTATCCTCGGCTTCCTCTCTACATCCAGCCTATCCACTGCCTCCTCCATACATCCAGCCTATCCCCTGTCTCCTCCATACATCCAGCCTATCCACTGCCTCCTCCTCCCCTGTACATCCAGCTTATCCTCGGCTTCCTCTCTACATCCAGCCTATCCCCTGCCTCTTTTGTACATTCAGCGTATCCTTTGTTTTCCCTCTATATGCAGACTATCCTCTGCCTCGTCTTTGTATGCAGGGTATCATCTGCCTCCCCTCTACATGCTGCCTATCTTCTTCCTCTTCGTCCAGTCTATCCTTTGTTTTCCTTCTATATCCAAACTATCTTCTGCTTTCTCTTCTTTATGTCCAGACTATCCTCTGCCTCACTCCTATAGCCGGACTATCCTCTGCCTCACTCCTATACCCAGACTATCCTCTGCCTCACTCCTATATCCAGACTATCCTCTGCCTCACTTCTATAGCCAGACTAGCCCCTGCCTCACTCCTATAGACAGACTATCCTCTGCCTCACCCATATAGCCAGACTATCCTCTGCCTCACTTCTATAGCCAGACTATCCCCTGCCTCACTCCTATACCCAGAATATCCTTTGCCTCACTCATATACCCAGACTATCCTCTGCCTCACCCCTATATCCAGACTATCCTCTGCCTCACCCCTATAGCCAGACTATCCTCTGCCTCACCCCTATATCCAGACTATCCTCTGCCTCACTCCTATAGCCAGACTATCCTCTGCCTCACTCCTATAGCCAGATTATCCTCTGCATCACCCCTATAGCCAGACTATCCTCTGCATCACCCCTATAGCCAGACTATTCTCGGCCTTACTTCTATAGGCAGACTATCCTCTGCCTCACTCCTATACCCAGACTATCCTCTGCCTCACCCCTATAGCCAGACTATCCTCGGCCTCACTCCTATATCCAGACTATTCTCTGCCTCACCCCTATAGCCAGACTATCCTCGGCCTCACTCCTATATCCAGACTATTCTCTGCCTCACCCCTATAGCCAGACTATCCTCGGCCTCACTCCTATATCCAGACTATTCTCTGCCTCACCCCTATAGCCAGACTATCCTCGGCCTCACTCCTATATCCAGACTATTCTCTGCCTCACCCCTATAGCCAGACTATCCTCGGCCTCACTCCTATATCCAGACTATTCTCTGCCTCACCCCTATAGCCAGACTATCCTCGGCCTCACTCCTATATCCAGACTATTCTCTGCCTCACCCCTATAGCCAGACTATCCTCGGCCTCACTCCTATATCCAGACTATTCTCTGCCTCACCCCTATAGCCAGACTATCCTCGGCCTCACTCCTATATCCAGACTATTCTCTGCCTCACCCCTATAGCCAGACTATCCTCGGCCTCACTCCTATATCCAGACTATTCTCTGCCTCACCCCTATAGCCAGACTATCCTCGGCCTCACTCCTATATCCAGACTATTCTCTGCCTCACCCCTATAGCCAGACTATCCTCGGCCTCACTCCTATATCCAGACTATTCTCTGCCTCACCCCTATAGCCAGACTATCCTCGGCCTCACTCCTATATCCAGACTATTCTCTGCCTCACCCCTATAGCCAGACTATCCTCGGCCTCACTCCTATATCCAGACTATTCTCTGCCTCACCCCTATAGCCAGACTATCCTCGGCCTCACTCCTATATCCAGACTATTCTCTGCCTCACCCCTATAGCCAGACTATCCTCTGCCTCACTCCTATAGCCAGACTATCCTCTGCCTCACTCCTATAGCCAGACTATTCTCTGCCTCACCCCTATAGCCAGACTATCCCTTGCCTTACTCCTATAGCCAGACTATCCTCTGCCTCACCCCTATATCCAGACTATCCTCTGCCTCACCCCTATAGCCAGACTATCCTCGGCCTCACTCCTATATCCAGACTATTCTCTGCCTCACCCCTATATCCAGACTATCCTCTGCCTCTTCTTTGTATCCAGACTATCCTCTGCCTCTTCTTTGTATCCAGGCTATCCTCTGCCTCGTCTTTGTATCCAGACTATCCTCTGCCTCACCCCTATATCCAGATTATCCTCTGCCTCAATCCTATATCCAGACTATCCTCGGCCTCACTCCTATATCCAGACTATCCTCTGCCTGACGTCTATGTCCAGTCTATCCTTTGCCTACCACCTGCACAAACTACACTGACTCTGACTTCCTGCAGAGTATTTCCTGAAGGTAATTTGCTGAAAGGCGATCTGCACAGAGCTCTCGTACATTGTATTTCTGTTGGAAATGTTTTTGGTGTTTATCCGGTTTTACAATCTCTGTACATCACGGTGCAGTTTGCAACATTCAAGGCTTGTGCCGGTCGAGGTCAGCGGATATCTCAGAATTGAATGACTAAGCTGTTTCTTTTCCAGGATGGGGACATTTACCTGGAGACAAAGAGGGATAGTTTATCATTCCCAGAAGTCATAATTGGAGCTCAGCTGTAATAATCATTTCTGGTTCAACATTATGAACATAAATATTAATACCGGAAATAAAAGTACATATGTAATGTTTGTGTATATTGTATATGTCATCATTAATAACATAGGGTAAGCATTAGGTTAGTTTTAGAGATGGTGTCTGGGTCCGTCTGGTTCCGTAACAATATGGCGGGTGGGCATGTGTCAATACAGCCGACATATTTCCTGCACAATGCAAGCGATACGGTGACAAGATTCTGTGCATGCATGGTAGTGACATTACAGACCAGTCAATAGTGCACATGCTTGGTATCTTGCCCCCATATTGTGAAATCAAATATAAGGTGGCAAGATCCCACACATCCACAGCAGTGGCTGGTCTATCATTCCACTACCGGGAATGTGGGAGTCAGGGAGTTTGTGTTGGCTGGGTGATGAGAGACAGGAATACATTGCTATGTCTGTCCTCTCACCACTCTGCTAGACCCCCCACCCTGCTCCTGCAATGAAGGAGGAAGATGACAAGCATAGGAAGAATTTGTAAGCCTACTCTACCAGTCCTAACCCCTGCCTCTCACTACTCTGCCAGTCACAACCCTGCCTCTCACCAATCCACCTGTCCCAGCCCTCCCTCTCACCACTCTGCCTGTCCGAACCCTCCCTCTCACCAGTCACCACTCTACCAGTCCCAACCACATCTCACCACTCCACCAGTCCAAACCTCCCTCTCACCACTCTGTCTGTCCCAACCCTTCCTCTCACCACTCTTCCTGTCCAAAACCTCCCACTCACCACTCCGCCAGTCCCAACCCCTCCCTCTCACCACTCCACCAGTCCCAACCATCCTCTCACCATTCTGCTAGTTCTAACCCCCCTCTCACCGCTCCACCAGTCCAAACCTCCCTCTCACCACTCCTCCTGTCCCAACCCTCCCACTCACCACTCCGCCAGTCCCAACCCTGCCTCTCACCAATCCACCTGTCTCAGCCCTCCCTCTCACCACTCCACCTGTCCCAATCCTCCCTCTCACCACTCTGCCAGTCCCAACCACCTCTCACCACTCCACCAGTCCCAAACATCCTCTCACCACTCTGCTAGTTCCAACTGCCCTCTCACCGCTCCACCAGTCCAAACCTCCCTCTCATCACCCTTCTGTCCCAATCCTCGCACTCACCACTCCGCCAGTCCCAACCATCCTCTCACCACTCTGCTAGTTCCAACCCCCCTCTCACCGCTCCACCTGTCCCAGCCCTCCCTCTCACCACTCTGCCTGTCCCAACCCTTCCTCTCACCACTCCTCCTGTCCCAACCCTCCCACTCACCACTCCACCAGTCCCAACCATCCTCTCACCACTCTGCTAGTTCCAACCCCCTTCTTACCGCTCCACCAGTCCAAACCTCCCTCTCACCACTCCTCCTGTCCCAACCCTCCCACTCACCACTCCGCCAGTCCCAACCCCTCCCTCTCACCCCCAGCAAAATGTCTCTTTTTTATTGTAAGGTACAGTACATCCAACTGCCAGATATGATAGAGCTATACTCACAATGACAGGAAGGTCAGACCTGATTTAGCACAATTTCAGGTGGCCCAGTTCTTACTATAGGCTGGCCATAGAAGAGCAGAGATTGCACTTATGCCAAATCCAGTTCAATTAACCTAATTTTTGCCTTTGTTTCACCTAGGATGGTCCGTGCCATGTATTTAGGGCCTGTAAAGACAGAAGGACCCGAATGTTATGGCCTGGGCAGCTACAGGATCACAGGATAACTTACTGTGGACTGAATTCCAAATGCTAATACACCAGGATATGGTTCATTGTTTTTTTAAAAAGTGAAAGTTCTTTTCTACTGAGCCCAATGAGATTTGGAAATGACAGTCAGTAATGTGGCTAAAAATAAAGCCCCTTATCCATGTCTGAAGCTTCGTGAGTTGAGCCTTGTGTGCAGGCACGGCGCTACCGCAAGGCAAGTCAGGCGGCCGCCTGAGGAATGTGTGCAGAATAATTTTAGCTCATATATTTTTATACCTTTTATAAATCACTATTTATATTGTTTCTATACTGTTATCACTTTCTATATATTTTAAATTGAAGTTTGTAAACTACAAATAATTACTGCATATATATTATACACTTCTCTATTATGTGCAAATGAATCTAGTACTTGTGTATATAGTACCCAGTGTGAATGCTAATTGGCAATCACTGTGTCAGTCTGTATGTGATAAATAACTGTATGTCACTCTCTTCTCATGTATCTGTAGTGATTTATATGTTGGAGTTTGTGTCTTATACATAGTTGTAACAAAACTGTATATTACTGTATATATGGGGTACACTACTCTACTGTGTGTTTGCATATAACGAATCAATGTGTGACCTTTATACCTCACATAGTTGGCATATTAAAAGTAACATATATCATGAATCCCAATACATACATCATTTATATCTCAGGTTCCATTAACATTAATCTCACTTTGTATACTGTATTATAACTATCTCTATGGCTATCATAGTTATCTGCACCAGTATTACAAATTGCTTTTTGAATATTATAACTGCATGGATATGATTATGTGTATATAAAATATTTGTATATTATACATTTCTTATGCTTATCTCTACCTGTGTTATAAATGGTTGTTTGTATAATATAAGTCTCTTATCATTAACCCTACCTGTGTTATAAATTGTTGTTTGTATATTATAACTCGGCTATCATTATGTGTTATAAATGGTTGTTTGTATATTATACGTCTCTTATCATTATCTCTACCTGTGTTATAAATGGTTGTTTGTATATTATAAGTCTCTTATCATTATCTCTACCTGTGTTATAAATGGTTGTTTGTATATTATAAGTCTCTTATCATTATCTCTACCTGTGTTATAAATGGTTGTTTGTATATTATAAGTCTCTTATTTATTATCTCTACCTGTGTTATAAATGGTTGTTTCTATATTATAAGTATCTTATCATTATCTCTACCTGGGTTATAAATGGTTGTTTGTATAGTATATTATAAGTCTCTTATTTATTATCTCTACCTGGGTTATAAATGGTTGTTTGTATATTATAAGTCTCTTATCATTATCTCTACCTGTGTTTATAAATTGTTGTTTGTGTATTATAACTCACTGTGGATTTAATGTCACTTTGTTGGGTTATAAGTCATTGTGTATTTTACAGAACGCTGGTGATTTTGTCGCAGCCCTGTCAGCCGACTGAAATCTCCAACATATTGATGTCTTTACAGGACAGAGATGACAACCGTTGGATGCTCTGTGTTATACGGCGGTCTGCGCGTCTCTTCATCTTATTACGCGGCACGGCACGTTCTCACCGCAGTGCTGAACTGCCATCGGTGAGCGGCGGGTCAACAAACAGGACTCTAATAGAGTGGAATGGTTGTGGACTCCCCGAGTGCCAAGCCTCCCTCTTTTAACATCTCGGTGATGAAACTGTGACGTGCGAGCAATTAAACGCACTGGCCGCTGGCAGCAGCACAAAGGCCTCTCCGCTATCCGCCGTGTCCTGAGGGCTTTCACATCAAATCCTCATCTTCCAGGCTGAGCAGAAGAGGTCTCATTGCAGGCTGCGGTATGATGTTTATTACATGGGCCACAGGTGATTGTTCAGGTGGATCTGCCAGAGTTTGTAGAACTTGATAAAACAAGCGGGACTAATTAGGGCTGCAATCTGTGGAGCTGCACGAGGAGGGGGAGAGGCCCGAAAACCTTCTCCGCGCCGAACGCGAAGCCGGGAGATGGAGTAAATAGCACAATGGTGTTAATTGCTCCATCTCATCGCCTGCCTGTCTCCTGACCATCGCCTGACCTTTTATGTACACATTGCAGCTTCTATCACACTTCTATTGTCGAAAGGATTATTGCTTGTTAGGCCAAGCTGACAAAAGGACAGACATATTCTGAAATAATACAACTTTAAATGATCTCAGAGGGGCCAATTTAGGAGCGTTGGTGAAGCTTCTTCTTGGTGAAGGTTGCCCGTTTCCTTCCATGTGCTGTAATTTGGATATTTTATAGCGGTGTTGTCGGTGCTTTGTTTTCCTGGATGTAATAAAATCATAAAAGGTTATGGGTTTGTTCAGCATTCCTTTCATGTTTATTACAATAAGTTTCATGGCCAGACTGTGTGCAGGGTATGGGGGGGATAATAATTCTGCATCCTGACCCCTGGCAGCAATCTCTGACCTTTACCTTGAGGAAGGCAAGGCTCAGAGACCCCACAACAATCCTTCCTCGTAATATAAACTATACAGCAACACATGTCAGCCCCCTTGGGGTGCGAGATAATCATATTAATACATGAGAGGGGAGCCAATTAAACCATTCTTGTAAATGTAGGATGGAACAATGGAATGTAGAAAGCAATATAATCCATAATAATCCGCTGCACCAATGCATGATGCCCAAACACCTAGTAACTAAACTAGAACTTATCATGTCCTTCTGTACCTAACGAGTGCGCATGTCCACCACAGAACAAGCAAGCAGATCCTATCCTTGGGGACCTATGAGCCAAAAAATCTACCTCCAACAGATCTGTCTGTGGCAAATGCGAATGCTGCATGTGCGGAATAAGAGGATGGTCATTCATCCTGGTTCCCCTGCCAAGAAGAGTGTGGGGACAGTAAGGTGACCGCTCCTTCCTTAGCCTAATTGCCTTCTGTACTCAAAGCTGATCTTCAACCAGACGCTCTCATCTCAAAGAGCACACAACTTTGTGGCAGCACCATCCCAGATGCCTCATATGAAGTAAATATTCAACATAGTTATTGTTTTGTCCAGGAGGCCATTTACAGCCAAGTCAGGCAAAGGTCCAATCTCTGAGACCACAAACGTTACCAGTGGCTGCTGAAAACCTTTCATGTGCCATTGTTTCCTTCTTATATACCAGATTTCCTTCTTATATACCAGCTGCACCCCCCTCTTCTCCTTTCTTCGATAAAATAAACCTATTTTCATTTCAGAGATGAGCGTGCTATTTCATGGAGTGCTCTGAAGACAATCAGAGTATTCCTGAACACAGAAATAAAAGGCCAGCCCAACAGGAAAGAAATCTGATTACAGTGAAATTGTGGCCAGTGACCTCTCATGCAATTTTTAGCCTTTCCGGTAATGCATAAAGCCTTGCATTTCATGTTCATTGATCCGCGTATTATAATGTGTAAGGATGGTTAAACAGTAAATACACTGAGTGGCCAGATTATTATGACCACCTGACGTTTGTAGGCAAATTAGCTATAATTTCATGCTGTAGTTGCTAGAGGGCCAGAATTTTATAAATAGGGAAGCAGGTTGTTTACCACGACAGTAGAAGTGATTATTTCTGAAGATACGGGTAAACAACGCGATTTAACAGCCTTTGAATGTGGGATGATTGTTGGCGCTCGGAGCCATGGAGCGAGTATCAGCAAAACAGCAGAATTCGTTAAGTGTTCAAGAGCAGCTGTTGTTAAAGTGTTTAAAGACCGGACTGTCAGCCGAAAATCTGGGTCTGAACATGCGAATTGTGGCCGTCAGCGACTAGTCCATGTTAGGGCAGAACGGAGAGTGGCAAGACTGGTACAAGACAACAGAAGGGCAACAGTGCAGTGTCAGATTCCTTGCATCACCTTTCAACATCTCGTGGAGTCACGAGGCGGCCCAACGAAGTCATCTCGTGGAGTCATCTCGTGGCCCAACGAAGTACTGATGGGGTGGTCATAATAATCTGGCCACTCAGTGTACATCTGCTAAACGGAGTTCAGCAGAAAATTAAAAATAAAGAATAACATGGTTCTCTTATATTGTCATATAGCAGGGAATAACTGGAAAACATTTTATAGCTTTCCAAGCAAAGTCCTGTGTTGTTATCCAAGTGAATTAGACATGTTTACCAAGGTCATTAGAGTCAGCAATGCAAGTATCCAACATCAACGTGCGACATATGGGGGAAATATTATTATCAATGTGTGGAATTTCAGAGCCAGAAACATTGCAAAACACTAAGGAAGGGCACACAGTTCTCAGAAAGGACACTGCTGAAAGGAGCTGCACTGAAGTATCACTATAATGGACCAGGAGAGATAAAACATCTACAGATCAGAGCATCACTATACCGTACCAGGAGGGCTAAAACATCTCCTACAGGTTAGAGGATTACCATGCCAGACCAGAAGGAATGAAACATCTCCTAAAGATTATAATATCACCATACTGAATGAGGAGAAGTAAAACATCTACAGATTATAGTATCACCATACCGGTGCCGGAGGAAAACAACATCTCCTGCAGATTAGAGTATCACCATACTAGACCAACAGGAATAAAACATCCCCTACAGATTACAGTATCACCATACCAGATCAGGAGGAATAAAACATCTCCGACAGATTAGAGTATCACCATACCGGACCAGGAGGAGTAAAACATATCTGACAGATTACAGTATCAGCATACCAGACCAGGAGAAATAAAACATCTACTGCAGATTTGAGTTTCACCATACTGGACCAACAGGGATAAAACATCTCCTACAGATTACAGTATCACCATACCAGACCAGAAGGAATAAAACTTCTACTACAGATTAGCGAATTACAAAACCGGACCAGGAGGAAAAAAACATCTCCTACAGATTATAATATCACTATACAGAAGCAGGAGAAATAAAACATCTACAGATAAGAGTATCACCATACTGGGCCTGAAGTATAAAACATCTCCTGCAGATTACAGTATCACCATACCAGATCAAGAGGGAATAAAACATCTACAGGTCAGAATATCACCATATTGGGTCAGCACGAGAAAAAAACATCTCCTACATATCAGAGTATCTCCGTACCAGACCAGGAGGAATAAAATTTCTACGACAGATTACATTATCATTATACCTGACTACAGGGGTATAAAATCTTTCTTGCATACCTAGGGCACCAGCAAACAAGAGAAGAGAGTATACAATATTTGGTATAGATCTGGTCACCACCAACTGTATTGGGAGGAATAAAATACTGATGACACTGCCCTACGGATCAGGCAGGACACGTTTTCTTACATAAGGGAAATATCTGCCCACATGTGGAATAAAATGGATCTCCTACTTCAGTTTTTCTTCACATGATCCAGTTGGAATAACATGCCTCTTACAGATTTTACCTATTATCGGCTGAGCCGGTCCTTTCACAGAGACAGTGGCAAATTCTCCCTTGGAGATGCCAGTTTGGAATCGTCCAGAGCTCTGGCCAGGAAGAGCCTGCAGCCAATCATCTGTATGTTGCTGGTGGAACTGTGTGAGAGATTCACCTTTTTTGCTACTGTGTGCAACATGATCCTGTTCTGTACATTGAAGCTTGGCTACCAGTACCACCAGGCAGCCATTGCCAACCTCTGCTTTGTTGGTGCCTCCACATTAATGCCTGTCCTTGTTGGCTGGGCTGCAGAGCTGATTAATAGAAGAACAAAAATCATCTACCTCTGCACATTCCTGCACTTTGCAGGTAAGTGGTCCTGAAATGATCCACATAAATACTACCTAATGACTGAGCCATTTTTTTTTACATGCACTTGCAAAGTGACCATGAGAAATTCAATATGAGACTAGTCATAGTACTTGATATGTGATGCATACTTAACAATTCCTAGTGCAAAATCTCATCCAGTTCCCTGCTAAATGTGTGTTTTCACTCCTTGGTGGAAGAATCTGGCCCTCCATCACAATCCACTCCATAATGGTACAAAATACTTTAATCTCCTTTCTGAATACAATCATCTGCGCTTTCCCAGTGAGATTGCTCCAATATCTGGTAGTTGTTTTGATCAGATAGAAAGAAATACGTTTAGGAACAGAAGGTCTTCTACCTGAAAAAAGGGGTCAGGTTGGGGTGCCTGAAGTATGGTCAGTAGATGTTCTCTCCCTCTTTTCAGAGGAAGTGTGTCCAATGGGTGATATAATCTTCTGCCTTTTATATCTAGTGGATACTATAATATAATTTTCCTTATATTCAGCAGAATAAAGACACATAGTATCTACTGTTGCTTCTTAGTGACATATAAGATGATATAAAGCGTTCAGCGCAGCAGGAGGTTGAGGGGTTTGGCATCCTGTCCTGCTCCTATCTCCCCCACCAGTTCAGTGTGGGGAAAAAGTCAGTTAAATTAGTGTTCCCAACAGTGCAGGTTCTCAGGGGAACCCCCCATATGGTCATCAGTGTTTCAGCAGTGTAATGTGCCCACCTCGGTGGATATCTAGAAAACATGACTTGTTGGTGGGAACATGGGACTAGGTTTCTGAAACACTGTACTTCTTTGCTTACAATGCTTGGGCCACTTTCGAAGTTCTAGGTGGCATTAACAATGCCCCAATTAGGCAGGGGCCACCATGTCCCACTCTGTGGGCCTGATCTATGTATCTATCATGGAGTGGAGAACAGGGTCAAAGTACTGTTCATGCAAGCTCTTCTTGACTACGGGCAGATTAATCTCCTATGGATGAAGCCACACCAGAAGCATATAATGTAACACACTCCCCTGTTTTTAGGTGTTTTTTATGTGTTGTGAATACTCTAATACATATTCATGAATAAAAAAAAATGCAGCTATACACCCAAAATGCACCACAAAGGATTCTCTTCCAACACTTCTTACATCAGAACATGACAAGTTTAGTAGCATGGGAAATGCACCACAAGGCAGGTGGTCTTAATGGGTTGCAATGCCTCCACCACTAGGGATAACAGCCCTCATCATCTACCACACTGCTGTATCGACACTGCATATTTTACCATGTCTTCACACTTGTGACGATAAAAGGTGAAAATGTAGGTGATACCGTTTGTTAGCAAACAGAATTCAGTTAGGCAATGAAAGCTATTGCTTGAATTTTTGCTTTTCCTACTGCTATCTATGGTTAATACAGCACAACATTTTACTGCAATACAAAAGTAAAACGGTGTAACATTTTCAGCCTTGTTCAGTAAAATTTCACAGTGTAAGTGGACGCATTGCAAGTTATGTTATACAATAGCAAAAGCTGCTAGTTATAGCTGTCAGCTCTTGCCAAGAAATCACATCAGGGGACAGGCCTCTCACAGAGCACACCTCTTTATAGGACACACTTCCTCATCATAGGTGGTAGGACCAGGGCCGTAACTACAGATCATGGGGCCCCTAAGCAAAAATGTGATGAGGGCCCCCTGACGACCTCTCTCTGAGCTGAGTAATGATGCCAAGATTGCAAAGACTCCTCTTGTGCATCTGACGTCATCTCTACACTTTACAGGGGATTAGAGTTGTTGTCAACTGCAACCCTCCAACCTGTAATGATACAATATTGTATTATATTCACATGTTTAATTTGTCTCAACAACCTAATGAAGCCCCCATCCCTTACAGGCCCCATAGCAGCTGTCTGGGCTGCCATGGCTATAGTTGCGCCACTGGATAGGACATAGTAATGAGTCACAGAGTCATGACTGAATCACTGTATCTGGAAGCCACATTCTTCAAACGGTTTATTTATTGGTGTTAAATGGTTTTATCCAAACAAAACTAATAATTCAGTTTAATGTAGACAGTGATAGGCCAAATCTCTTGCCTGCTTATATGTGTTACAGTCTCCAGTCGTAATATTACCATACAAGATTTTGTGTCTCTGCCTCTTCCACAATGATGAGATTTTCCTGCAGTAGTTTGTGTCTCTGCCCCTCCCACAATGGTGAGATTTCCCCCCCAGTAGTTTGTGTCTCTGCCCCTCCCACAATGATGAGATTTTCCTGCAGTAGTTTGTGTCTCTGCCCCTCCCACAATGATGAGATTTTGCTGCAGTAGTTTTGTGTCTCTGCCTATCCCACAATGGCTAGATTTCCTTGCAGTAGTTTGTGTCTCTGCCCCTCCCACAATGATGAGATTTCCTTGCAGTAGTTTGTGTCTATGCCCCTCCCACAATGATGAGATTTTCCTGCAATAGTTTATGTCTCTGCCCCTCCCGCAATGATGAGATTTCCCTGCAGTAGTTTGTGTCTCTGCCCCTCCCACAATGGTGAGATTTCCCTGCAGTAGTTTGTGTCTCTGCCCCTCCCACAATGGTGAGATTTCCCTGCAGTAGTTTGTGTCTCTGTCCTATAAAAACATTTTGATTTCTTATTTTTTCTGATCTGTACATCCATATGCGGTTCTCAGGTCATTACATGTCTTCTCTCTCCAGGAACCATCATGCTGCCTGTAGTTGCATTTCCTTTTGAAGATTTTTACATAGACAAGCATCACATTGCCCACACCCTGGCCAGGAAACACCAGACGCTCCTGTTCTATGCCGGATTAATTATGGCGGCCATTGGAACTGGAGGCATTCGCTCCATTGTCTGCCCATTCAGTGCCTACGGTCTGCAGAGCTACAGACAGAAGGAAATGATGTCATTCTTTAACTGGTCAGTGACAACCCTCTTCTGTACAAACAACACACTCTCATCTGTGTGGTCTCTCCTCTATATAATGTGATATAGAATGTGCCGGTCTCTCCTCTATATAATGTGCCGGTCTCTCCTCTATATAATGTGATATATAATGTGCCGGTCTCTCCTCTATATAATGTGATATACAATGTGCCGGTCTCTCCTCTATATAATGTGATATACAATGTGCCGGTCTCTCCTCTATATAATGTGATATACAATGTGCCGGTCTCTCCTCTATATAATGTGATATAATAAAAGTGTAATTTCATAAGATAATTTAAGAGGGTGGGTTTAGGGGCGGAGTTAAGGCCGAGGCAGGATTGGGGTTAGGTGGGGCAACTGGTGGCGAGTAACTCTTAAGGCCTGGCTAGTAGCTCAGGACTTGAAATTTTGAGCCCTGTGATATACAATGTGCCGGTCTCTCCTCTATATAATGTGATATACAATGTGCCGGTCTCTCCTCTATATAATGTGATATACAATGTGCCGGTCTCCCCTCTATATAATGTGATATACAATGAGTTAAACTATAGTATAAATATTAGTGATAGCATTAGTTATAATAGTGATGATATTAATAATAATAATGGTGATAATAGTGTCCTTGTTTTGCAGGTTTTACTGGCTGGTGAATGTGAATTGTCTGGTCGTGTTTTTGGGCATTTCTTACATCCAGCAGTCGGTGGCTAAGAATCTTGGATTCCTCATCCCCTTCGTGTCGGTGGTCATGGCGCTGACCACCATCCACATGGCGCGCAATGAGCTCATCTACCAGCCGGTGAAAGGTCGCTCCATTCTCCATGAACCCTTTATGTACTTTATGGTCACCTTATGGTTATAGGTCACTTACACCATACTATTTCATCCCGATCTGCACACAGGAGGGCCATAATGTATGACTTGGCTATAATTGGCACTAATAGTATTATTATTATTATTATACAGGATTTATATGGCGCCAACTGTTTGTGCAGCGCTTTACAGTATAAGGAAGGCATTACAATCACAATACAATTCAAAACAAGATGGTAAGGAGGGCCCTGCCCCTGAGGGTCTACAATCTAAGAGGGAGGGGCCAGTGGTACATGAGGAGGTAGCTGTGCGGGGATGAATTGTTTAATAATATGATGGTTCAGCGGTTAGGTTGAGGTGGGATAGGCTTCCCTAAAGAGATGAGTCTAAAGGGATCGCCTAAAGGCAGTAAGAGTGGTAGATAGACGGACAGGTTGGGGTAAGGAGTTCCAAAGAATGGGAGAGACACTATAGAAGTCCTGGAGGCGAGCATGGGAGCAGTTGACAAGGGAGCTGGAAAGCAGGAGGTCTTGGGAGGAGCGTAGGGGACGGTTAGGGTGATACTATTTGACAGAGGGGGGTTGCAGATACTGAGCAGTTGGCTAGGTGGATAAGTCTGGCAGCAGCATTCATGATAGTGCTGGTAGTATTAGTTGTACTAGTAGCTTTTAGATTGTAGACCCTCAGGGGCAGGGCCCTCCTTACCATCTTGTCTTGAATTGTATTGTGATTGTAATGTCTTCCTTATATTGTAAAGCGCTGCGCAAACTATTGGCACTATATAAATCCCGTATAATAATAATAATTAGTAGTATTGGTAGTATAAGTGGTATTAGTGTAATCGGTAATGTTGTTAGTATTAGTGGAATCAGTAGTACTGATAGTGTTGTCACTATTAGTAGTACTGGTGATATTAGTACTCTTGGTAATATTTGTAGTCTTAGTAGAATTTTTAGTGCTGGTAGTATTAGTAGTAGTATGATTAGAATTGGTAGTATTGTTAGTACTGGTAATATTAGAAGTACTGGTAGTGTTGGTGATATAGTATAGCAGAAATGTTAGTAGTATTAAAAAATGTTGTACTTGTAGCGTTCGTAGTAGTATTAGAATTGGTAGTATTGTTGGTACTGGTAGTATTAGAAGTATTGTTAGTATTAGCAGTACCCTTAGAAATTTTTGTATTGGTAGTATAAGCAGCAATGGTAGTATTATTAGAATTGGTAGCATTGTTAGTACTGGTAGTATTAGTAGTATCAGTAGAATTTGTAATTTGGTAGTATTTGGTGTATAATCACTTTTATAAAGCCATCCACAGCTCTGCCCCCAGATATATCTCAGACCTTGTCTCAAAGTATCACCCTAACCGTCCACTCCGCTCTTCCCAAGACCTTCTGCTTTCCAGCTCCCTAGTCAACTCCTCCCATGCTCGCCTCCAGGACTTCTCTAGAGTCTCTCCCATCCTCTGGAATTCTTTACCCTAACCTGTCCGTCTATCTCTCACCTTGAACACCTTTAGGCGTTCCCTAATGACTCATCTTTTTTTCAGGGAAGCCTATCCCACCTCAACCTAACCACTGAACCATAACATTCTCAAACAATTCATCCCCACAGAGGTACCTCCTCATGTATCACTGGCCCCTCCCTCTTAGATTGTAAGCCCTCAGGGGCAGGGCCCTCCTTACCATCTTGTCTTGAATTGTATTGTGATTGTAATGTCTTCCTTATATTGTATAGCGCTGCGCAAACTGTTGGCGCTATATAAATACTATGTAATAATAATAATAATATTGGTAGTACGGTAGTAGCAGTAATGGCAGTGTTATTAGAATTGGTAGCATTGTTAGTCCTGGTAGTATTATTAGTATAAGTAGTACTGGTAGTATTGGTTTGGTGATGGACAAGATGTACACACATGATGTAGAACTGACACATGTGTTCCCTGCGGTAACACAGAGGGGTGTATATAAGTTGTACTGACAGTATTGGTGAGATTAGCAGTAATGGTAATATGATTAGAATTGGTAGTATTGTTAGTACTGGTAATATTAATAGTATTGGTAGTATACAGTAAGTAGTACTGGTAGTATTGGTCTGGTGATGCACAGGATTTCTCAGCTGGTACCGTTACTAACCCATGTCACACAGGTAACGGCTCATGTACAGGACATGTATAGGCAGAGGAATATGGAGGGTGCCATTGCTGTAATGGTGATAGTTGTGGTAGTAATTAATAGTGGTAAGTTGTAATAATGAGTATTAGTAGTAGTGGTAGTAAGTGGTAGTAGTGAGTATTATTATTTGTAGTAGTTGTGGCAATGCTAGTGTAGCAGTAAGTATTAGTAATATTTAGCAGTAGGTCATACTAGTAAATATTATTATTAGTATTAGTAGTAGTTGTTGTGGTAGTAAGTCATAGGTGGAAGTTATGTTACTAAACTTATTCTCTGTAGTTCTAAGTAGTTTGTAAATACCTGCATTACTCAGTGTACACAAACCTTTGATTGGCTGTGAGTGGTCACATGCGCTTTAGTGTAACAGTTCTTGCCATATTGGATATAGTAGAGCCCCATTGGACAGGAAATGTATGTTGTGTCCAGCTCTAGGAGTCAGACTTTGCTCTGTGGCGTGGTTAGTTTTGGCAATTATTGTGCTTGGACAGAATCCTCACCGGGCTTAGAGTTCAGGGTCAATCTATTGTTTCTCACTGGGGTGTACCCGGCTGTGTGTCTGGTATGAAGTGACCATAGAGTGTTCTGTACCCTTGCAGGCGGCTCTCTGCTCACCACGGCTGGCGTCTTCCTGAACGCGGTAAGAATGTGCTGTGTTCACTATCGGCACGTCGGTGGACGCGTCTCCTCCTGGCTGGATCGTGCTAAGGAGCATAATGGCGGCCGCTACAGCGAGTACCACGTGGAGAACACGAAGGCGCTGATGAAGCTTCTGCCGCTCTTCACCATCCAGATTGTCTACCGAATTTGCACCTCACAGGTGAGCGAGCCGCGGTAATATCTGGGGGCCTGCAGGTTATGACCGCAGTGAACGTGGAAAATCAACGCATTTCTATTTTTACACCGCTGTTTCCTCCTCGCTGGCGCGCTATGGCACACATTTCATATTTATGTCAATTCTTTGGTGCATTTCGGTGCTTCACCAAACCATTCGGTAACGCCCGCCATATTCCTCATCTATGAGGCTGGTTATAAAATTTTCCTTTGGAGTGTGATCTGTCTACCTTCCACGGGGTAACAATGCTGTCTCCTCTATTCAGGTCTCTGCTGGATTCTTCATTCAGTCAATGAATTCGAACTTGAGTGTGAGCGAAGTTCTTCTGCCCATCGCAGCCATGAAAATTATTAGCATTATTCCGCTGTTAATAATGGTTCCCTGTCTAGAGAGCGCCAACGCATACCTGTCCTCCAGACGTGGCTGTGGACTGCGGCCCTCGACATCTATGGGTAAGGGAAATGCACGCAGGCCTCCTTGCGGTAACACATAGGGGTGTATTTCTAAACAATATCCAGAGCCAGTCGCCCTGTCAAATTGCAAATACAATAGTTCTGTGCAAATGGGGTGAAAACAAGTGTAATTAGCATATTTTCTTTCCAGGTCGAATGTAACATTAGGTAAATACCACATTATGGCCACTAGATGGAGCTGAGGTGCACAGAGAATAAAAATGTACATTGTGGTGTCACCTCCATCTATATACAGTCCTGATATCTCTGCATAGTGATGGTTGTGGCACACTGTGGTCTCACCTCCATCTATATACAGTCATGATATCTCTGCATAGTGATGGTTGTGGCACATTGTGGTGTCACCTCCATCTATATACAATCCTGATATCTCTGGATAGTGATGGTTGTGGCTAGGGATGCACCGATACCGATACAAGCATCGGTATCGGCCGCGATACCGAGTATTTGCATGAGTACTCGTACTCGTGCAAATACTCCAAAACATAAAACGAGTACCTGTGCCGCGTCCGCCATCTTCAGGGACCCGGATCCGCCGCACACAGGACCTCCATCGCGTCTTCAATCAAGCAAGATGGCCGCGACCTCCTCTGTCATCTGCTTCATTCTGACCTCAACTTAGTGATGGTTGGGAAGCAATGTGGTGTCACCTCCATCTATATATAGTCCCGATATTACTTCTCAGTGATGGCTGTGGCACATTGTGGTGCCGCCTCCATCAATATACCATACTGATATCTCTACTTATTGACAGTTGTGGTGCACTGTGGTCAGGCCCGGATTTCCCACAAGGCCAGCGAGGCACGGCCTCGGGGTGGCAGCTGTGACCTTGTGGGTGTCCCGGCGGCGGACCGTAGTGTGCGGCCGCCGTCCAATCACGACGGGGCGTGCCGAGGCTCCGCCCACCGGCTCCGTAGTGTGCGGCCGCCAGCCAATCACG